ATATTTCAGTTCTACTTTTTTATCTTTTATAATGTTCTCATATCCAGAAGACTCCAAAACAATCCTGAAAAACAGAAATGTAGAAATGAATACATGGAAAGACATACCATTATTTTGAGTGGGAAGAGTTAATGCATTAAATTGCAATCTCCATAAAAATACTATTAGTTTTCATATTCTTTGAAGCTAAACAGAGTTTGATTGGAAAAAAAAATAGGAAAACCCTGAAATAAAGGATAACTCTTAAAAAGGAAAGAGTAGGAATAACCTAGCCCTAAAAGTTACTAACACATATTATGAACCTCCTATAATTTATTTGTTTATTTTTCTTAGATGGAGTTTCGCTCTTGCTGCCCAGACTGGGGTGTAATGGTGCGATATTGGCTTACCACAAATGCCACCTCCCAGGTTTAAGCCATTCTCCTGCCTCAGCCTCTCCAGTAGCTGGGATTACACCATGCACCACCACGCCCGGCTAATTTTGTATTTTTAGTAGAGACAGAGTTTCTCCGTGTTGGTCAGACTGGTCTTGAATTCCCTACCTCAGGTGATTCACCCGCCTTAGCCTCTCAAAGTACTGGGATTACAGGTGTGAGCCACCTCCCCTGGAGGAATCTTCTATAATTAAGATGACATGGAATTTGTGCATGAGGAGACAGACAAGTGGCATAATACACAGAGAAGGACTGTTTACAATGACTTTAAAACACAATAACTTGACTGTGTATTCTTAGTTGGACATAATCTAAGACTCAACAAAAACTTAAAAATAATTATACAGTTTGTGGATTATATTCATAGGTGACAGTGATATGTTGTTATTATGAGACTTGGATTTGTAGTAAGGGAAAGACAAATAAGGATTTATGAATACTGTTAAAGGCCAGGATTGCTGACGTGAGAGAAGCAGGAAATAAAAGTAAGATAAAGGTAAAAATCATATACTCCTGAATTTGAATTGGAAGCATTTTTATAAACTCATAATAAATTTTATATTTCCAAATACACATTTCTTAGCTTTGTCTTCTGAAAATATATTTAAAAATTTCCAATGATATAGTAATGAACACCTCTAAGACTCAATTTGTAATTTCTAAATATCGTTTTATAATACAAGTAATAAAGACTCCTTGGAGAAATAGAGGATTCTGAGTTCTGGATAGAAAATTTAAGATAATCCTGGGACATTGTATCACACAAGAATGTGAGAAAGCTCTCAAAGGCTCCAGGGTGATATCAAGAAGCCTCAGAAGTCAACTTAAATAAGGATAACTGCAATAGATTGAAATACGTTAAAATATATTCTAAACCATGAGCTCATAATAGTTCTTTTAAAATGAAGAAATAAAACTCACTGGTTAACTTTGGAAGATGCTAGAGAATCAACTTAGGAAGATGCAAGAGAATCAACTTGCCAGTTTGCAAACTATTTTATAAAGAGCAGTAGACATCTGACTTTTCTAAATGAGCTATAAATCAATGTAATCAAATTATTGATGAGAAATTTCTTGTTACAGTAATATTTCAGGTAATAAATGATTGAAGTAGAATATCACCATTTTGTAATAACTGCTTAACACCAACAGGGAAACAAAAGATAATGGAAGATTATATTCCTCTAATAGTACACAACACAACCTGTAAATAATTATTTTAGTTTGCTGTTTCTGTTTTTTGTGTTTGTTTGTTTGTTCATTTGTTTGTTTGTTTAGAGACAGGGTTTTGCTCTGTTCACCTGGGTTGGAGTGCAGTGGTGACATCACAGCCTCAACCTTCTGGGCTCAAGTGATTTTCCCATTTCAGTCACCAAACAAGTTGCTGGGACTAAGAGTGCATTCCATGCTTAGCTAAATTTTGTATTTTTTTTCTAGAAACAGAGTTTCCCAAGTTGTCCAAGCTTGTCTTGAATTCCTAGGCTCAAGTGATCCACTCACCTGGGATTTATCACAGAGCATAAACAGTATACACCCAGTCCTATGAGCTATTGTCTAATGAGGAGGAAATGGTTATAAACCAACAAACATAAACACGTAATAAAGAACAAGAGCTGTGAAACACACGCAAAATCACATGCCATGTGAAAGACATTTAGAAAAGCACAATTTAGATGGAAGATCAGAAGAGACCTTTCTACTGAAGTACCATTTAAATTGGTTCCTTTATGTACAGAAAAAGTTACCTGAGATAAAGTTTGAGGAGGCTCTGAAACAGAGAGCAATGAAGTCACAATGTACACCATCTGTTTGTGTTCATTACCTGCTTGATCAAACATTACCTTTTAGAAAAGTTGATGATAGGAACACTTTATGTAAATTATCATGACCCTTTGTATTATACACTACAAATATTTTTCTAGTCTACTGTGTGTTTTTTATTGTTACACATATTTTTTCCATCAAAACTTTAAATTTTTCAAGTCTTTCATAGGTCTATGACTTTTTGCTTCCTGCTTTCCCCAACCATGAGATTATAATAAATATTCATATATGTTTGCTTTCCTACTTTTGGAGTTCTCTTTTTTACATTTAACTCTTTCATCCATCTGATTTTATCTGTTACATAAGGGATAAGCGGGATCTAACTTGTTTCCTATGTGGCTAGCCATTTGTTTAAACCCCATTTGTTGAATAATAATAACAATTAGTATTTATTGTGGTTTACTATGAGCCAGATACTCTTCCAAATGCTTTACACTTATTATTTCTGTTACTTTTCAATCTAAGCATCATTATACTTTCCAATTTTCAGATAAGGGAACCAAAAGACAGTTTAGTGATTTGCTCAAGCTAATGTAGCTATTAAGAATAAGAGCTGAGATTAAAACCAAGAGATATAAGCCAAGATTTCATTCTCTTCACAATCACATTGTACTGACTTCCAAATTTTTTCCCTTACTCTTAGATTTGAAAGATTTCTTTTATCATAGAGTAAATTTGTATCATACAAATATATAAGTATATATATTTCTACGTGGGCTTTTTCTGGACTTAAAAACTATATATATGTACTTATATGTGCATTAATTTTAAGGTGATTAAAGGACTCATGATTAATTCTTTTACTCCATGTTTCTATGCTTCTAATAATTGATTCATTCATTTGACCAAATTATATTTGAATATGAAAATGTGTTTTCTACTTCTATTCTTAAAATGTCTCTCTTCTGTTTCTCTTCTATTTCATTCTCATATTCTGCCATCTTTTCTGATATGCAGTTTTATTGGAGAATTTGATCTAATAATATTAAACTTTATATAAAATGGTTACATGTTTTGACAACCTATATAGTAAAAATATTCCATTCCATGCCTATAAGAAGAGACCTGTTTCTAATTGCTATCTGCTTTTCTGATATATTAAATAGATCTATGACACTGAATATATTGAAAACTTAGAAAAACATTATCCTACTCTTTCGATCTTGCTATAAAAAATAAACATTGCTGCCAGAGTGTGTTACACATAAACCTTAACTTTATTTTGGAAGAACATAGTATCTGTTGTCATGCATCATGATCTTATGAGATATTCTTTAAGAAGAGCATCACCTGAATGTTTTTCCATAGGATTACTGAATTTCCTAAGGCTCCATTTCTCCTTTCTTGGCAGAGCCGTATTAATCAGAATTGCCACCTGCTCATTGATAGACTCTGTCAAACAACTTCTCTCTCCTTAGTATACTTCTATTAGATGTTGCTATTAGTGAGTTATTGGGCACATTCCCTGCTCTGTATACTGCAAAGTAAGATTGAATTGGGCACTTAAGGAAACTGCATTAACTCTTTCAGGCCACCAGGGTACCATTTAGGGGCCCTCTGGAAACATTTTCTTTAAACCAGGTCATCATGATGTCATTTAATCATTTTAGAACACTGAAATGGATATTTATGAGTTGGCTCTCTAGTAGTCTGAAAGAATTAGCGCAGGCCTCCAAAGCCTATGACCTGCTCCAAAGTCTAATGGGATGAACTTCTTTCAGTATGCCACTGATTTTCTCTCACAGAGAACACGTGACATTTGGCAATGGAAAAAATAATCAGTTGAAATTTCCCTACATAATTCAATAAGAATTATTTTCTGACAAGTTGTTTTCTCCTTTCATTCCATGCCTATTTCTTTTTATATTATATTATATTAATTAATTAATTTATTTATTTATTTATTTATTTATTTATTTATTTATTTATTTATTTTTTGAGGCAGGGTTTCACCATCTTGGCCAGGCTGTTCTCAAACTCCTGACCTCATGATCCACCCACCTCGACCTCCCAAAGCGCTGGGATTACAGACGTGAGCCGTCATGCCCGGCCTTCCATGCCTGTTTCTAATGCACAACTGTAGTGGAATTCAGGGTCTATTAGCTGGTTGTCTATTTCTGCCAAATGATACTCACCTAAGAGAAATTATGTTTAATTGTAGAATGATGGAGTTGGAGGGTTTCTCTAGAAACGATTTGGTAAAAATGGAGTTTGCCAGATAGAGCCCTTGTGAAACTGTCTCAGACTAATAAGAAATTATTCTGCTTTTAAAAGGTTGATTTTTTTTCACTAATAGGAAAAATATTTATATTGAGAGAAAATTCGCTTTCATGTAGTTTATGGAACATGGTAGGATTTGGGGATAAATCATCTTGCTGTTCTCTACTACTACGTAAAAATTATTTTGCCTAACTAGGTAAAAATCACTGCACCTAATCATGCAAAATCTTTAGAATGAATGTAATATTTTTATAGTATTTAGCACTACCTACAGTAGATGTGTGGGAAACTGTTTATATTGTCAATTTCTGTGATGCCCTAATGAGGTGAATATTCTAGAAATTGAAAAAAATGCAAGAAAGAGAATGTTTTACCTCATTAGGATAAAATTAGTCTTTAAAATAACCCTCAATATTTCCATTTCTATTATCTGCCTATTTTTAACTGATTCAAATCCCAGATATGCATTTATTTATCGGTTCTGTGCAGAACTTTCATATAAGGCAAGGAATGAGATTATACCTTGTGATGTCATGTTGCTGTATTTAACAGAGACTTCAAACTGCAGTCACTCTCACATCACTGTTCAGAGTTTCCATAAATCCAAAGCAAAATAATGGAGCTAAAAGAAAAACAATATTTTAGATTAGGGAAAGCAAGGCATTTCAATTTTTATGGGGAAAGCGATATTCAGTTTAATTTGCTTTATGTTCATAATTTTCTAGAACACTTTCTTATTAGACTTCTATATATAAAAGCACAGTACTTACTGTTTTATTTCCCATCTTCTTCTGCAAGTAGGATACTGTCCTTTAGGCTTAAAACTCCATTCAAAATGCCATGCTAACTATAAAAACGGGTTTGTTTGCACTTATATACTTAGCTCCTGATTCAGGCCATTGTGTGTTTTACACATCTCATAACCGAGATCTATATTCTGTGTGCTTGCCGCAGTCTTATGTGGGTTTGTCGCTGAGCCAGATTTATCTTCGTATTTCCCATTATAGCCTAAAAGAACCGTATTAAGGAAGCCTTTCTTTTCAGTTCCCACTTGTGATTGCTAACATATCAAATTTATTCCTTCGTAATCCAGATCATTTTCCAGCAGCTTTGAGGCCTGGATGTAGTAGTTTGTTAGAGAGCTCATAGTAACCCTACACTGACAGACCAAAAAGCCCTTCGACTGTCACTTTATGTCATTAACAATTTTCTAAAGCCATTACAGATGGGATGGACTGATTAGAACTGGGGAGGGAGGATCTTTTTCCCAGCCAGAAATATCCCTGGAGACTTTGACGCCGTGTGAAGTTTCTAGTGATTAATGGGAGAAAAATAAGGCCGCCTGTCCCACAGTTGCCATAGCCTTTATTTGGGAAAGAGCTTATTTATATTTGGTGATCTCTCTGGATAACTAAACATTAACTGGCTCACATAAAATATGGACAGAGCGATAGATTTGAGATGATATACTACATGTTAGGTTTAGGTCCTGAGGTTGGATTTTCTCTCCTTGTTTGAGTATAGCTATTATTATTTAATGTCAGTGCTGTTTCACGATGAAAGTGTTTATCTTCTCCTGGCCTTTTTCCCTCCACTTCTGCTGTTTTATTTCTGTAAATGAAAGCTACAGCTGGAATATTGTTTTACTGCAAATCTCACACCAGCACTGTCAGTTGTGATGTGACACCAGAGATTCTTATCTGTAGGTTGGGTTGGAATTATTAAACATTCTCACATTGTGCAAAGTGTTGGGGATGAACAGCAGTGCAGTGAGGTGCATCCAACACTTCTGTCTTTCCCACCTGATCCTTGAAATATGACTCTTTTAAAGGGCTAATGTTCACTTTCTATAGCTTTATATAGAAAAGAGACAGTACTCAAGAAGTAACATGAACTGAAAATTATAGTAACTTCCCATCCCTCCATCTTAATGCATGCTTTCAAAAGCAATCCTAATGGTAAACTTCATTTGGAAAAGCAAACAGTTGGCCGTTTGTGGTTGAGAACAATTCGATTTTTATGAAGAAAAATTGCTTGTAGTCCAAATATTATAAAATATTTGCATTTATTTTTTCACTTCTTTTTTCAAATAATCTTTCTCATAGCTGTGACACCAAAGCAAAGCATTGTATCAAATTAAAATGAGAACTAAACCTCATGTTTTTATTTTACTGAAATTATTGTTAAAATTGCAAAAATACATGTGCTCTTAGATTATTGCAGGTACACAGCATAATTATATATTGTTTGCCATCTTGATAATGCTTAACAAGATATGGAATTTTCATCTTCAAAGCAGTCCACAAATGTTAATCACTGTGACACTTCTGGAAGACTGGAAAGAAATATTACCTACAGCTTAAAGATAAGGAGACTGAAGAAGCGAGATTAAGTGATTTGTCCAGGAGCCCTCATTTGGCTTTGACACTCAAGGGTTCCTGGATTTCAGCCTTAAGAGAACATTAAATCCATTTCTCAGAGCCTTGACTTCAAATACACATTAAAGCTCCTGGATCACTTAAATGCTCTGCTTCAAAGTTACATTTGCACTCTGAAGAGAGATACTTACCAAAGTTGTATAATAAGAATCAGAGTTGTCCTGGAAAGCACAAAATTGCTTCCTGTATTCTTTTTTGATTAAATAAAAATGTATATCCAAAGTACTATATTAAATAGTTGTGTCTGCTTACAAGTCACAGAAAGCAACTAATTTAGTTCAGTTGCAAGTCATCAAAACTAGGGTTCCAGATCAAATACAGAATTTCCAGTTACATTTGAATATCAGATAAACAATGGATATTTTTTAATATGTCCCAAATATTGCAATATCATTGTTTATGTGATATCAAAAGGTAAAGAGGTATCTTACATTTTCATTTGGTAAATCTGGCAACCCTAATTGAAACCCAATTTAAATAAGCTTAGACATATGTAGGAATCATTGATTCAGAAAATCTAAAAAAGGTTTAAACAACGAAAATGCAAAAAGGCAAAAAAGGAAGCTTGTCTAAGGATCATTGAGAAGCAATGACATGAACACCTTCAGTATCCTCTCCTTGTGCACCAAGGTGTTGAGTTTACAGTCTTTTACTACAGTTCTACATAAGTAGGAAACATACTTGCATTTTTTGCAAGTTTTCTATTTAAAATTTGTCTCTGGAGAGACAATAGTCTAATCCTCTCCCTGCTTCATGACCCAAAAATACCAGATAAGGGCTGTAATTGGTCTAGACTTAGCAATAATCAACTATAGTCAGACCGTAGGGTTTATGTAAAAATACAGCACTTTCCACAGAAGATATACACCTAGAGTAAGATTGAGAAGCAGAGAAGAGGAATATTTCGTCAAAGAAGGAACATATTGTTCCCAGATGAAATGGGGATTTTGGCACTTAAATAGTAGGCAACAAACACATTCCAAAACAAATTTGTTCAAAAAAACCAGGGCTTGTATTGAAAAAATACAGCCTCTACACAGGATAGAGGCTGGGCACAGTGGCTCGTGCCTGTAATCCTAGCACTTTGGGAGGCCGAGGTAGACAGATCACCTGAGGTTGGGAGTTCAAGACTAGCCTGACTAATATAAAGATACCCTGTCTCATCAAAAATAGAAAATTAGCCAGGTGTGGTGGCATGTGCCTATAATCCCAGCTACTTGGAAGGCTGAGGTGGGAGAATCACTTGAACCCCAGAGGCAGAGGCTGCAGTGAGCAGAGACTGCACTCCAACCTGGGCAACAAGAGTAAAACTCCGCTTCAAAATAAAATAAAATAAAAACAAAAACAAAACAACAACGAAAACCACTACACAGGGTAGAGCATCCAGGTGTCATACAAGACTTGAATAATCAATAAGAAGGCCACAAGGACACACTCTAATTCTTGTTTATTTATTTTTTCTTTCTATTTTAATTATTTTCCACTTCGGTAAATTTCTCTTCTGAGTTTGTCTGATCCAGGTAATCACAGATACACAGTAGGACAATGCATAGTTGCTGGAGGCATAGCTCATAGACAGCATGACTAAGAATAAGGGACCCTTTGGGGAAAGTTTAGGGAGTAGAGTATAATGTTTTGAGAAAACGTGTATGTTATATTCCAACACTTTAAAATAAAAATCATATCACTACCTGTTTTATTTATTTCAGGCCCCAGGGAAAAGTGGATATTTTAATCTCCTATTACTTGCTTTCGTAAATTGACTGTACCCTAGAGTCTTAAGAAAAACATGTAACTTAGTCATATTGATCCACAGTACTACACTGACCCACAGATCACTGCAGAATATAATCTGAGTGATCACATCCTATGAATTCCATTAAGTGAGGGTTCCATAACACACCAACGACATAATTTATTTAAAGCTAATTGCCTAAAGGTTTATCCTAAAGATAACGTTTGTCATGTACACCTATAGAATATAATGAATTTGTAGCATGAACAGTTTGTCTCTTTGACTTAATACTGACAGACATTCAATTTGAAATTTGAAGAGGTAATGGTGGTAGTTACCAGGAAATGAAAAGCTTCAAAGCTTTACATTTTCTTGGCATAATCTCTCCAACAGCATCTGTTCTTGTCTCTCTTTTTTATTATTATTCTTGAGTAATACTAGGAAGTTTCTAGACCAGATGAACTTCCTATGACCTATTTAGTAGACTCAAACAATTAGCAAATGGTTATTTAATCACTCCTAAGAGTAGATATATGTGAGACAAGTAGAATATCATGACCTTTTGATTTATTTTATATAATCTTCCATATACAATTTTTCTTGCAATGCCTGGCACATAGTCAGTGAGAGGAGATAATGGGTTGAAGTAAATCTCTGCTACAGGCTACAGAGACAGTGTACTGTTATTCTCCATTGTCCCTGGTTCCATTCACCAGGCAGTTTTCACCTCTGGACTTCAGACTGTTTGCTGGATTAGTAGGAGCAATTAATATAAATGGTGGGCATATCTTAAGAGTGGGTGATCATTTAGAGAATATGAAGAACAGAAATGGAATTCTGAAGTATACCTCAATGTAATATGTGGAAGAAGAAGGGCCCCTCTAGCAAGGAGTCTAAGAGTTAATCCTATAGGTAGCAAAAAAACTAACAGAAAATGAGACCAAGAGCAAGTCATAGAATTTAAGAGGTAATATCACGAAGGAAGGGAATAGCACCTTTAAATGGCACAGAGAGGATACTGAAAGCATCTATTGAAGTTGTCAAGTTAGAAATCAACAGTGACATTACTGAGAGCAGTTTCAGTGGAGTGGTAGGGAAAGAAACCAGAACATGGCAAGTTTAAGATAAATAGAAGGTAGAAAATAGAAGGTAGAAAAGTTTAGAAAATGAGCATAAACTACTCTTTTTAAAAGCTCATATTTGGAAAAGATAAGTATAAGCAGTAATTTTGCATACTTTTGATATGAATCAGAAATTCTATAAGCTTAAGAAAAATTTGATAGTAAAAGTCACCAATGACCTGATTAAGATTTCATGCAACTATTCCCAGGGACTCAAAAAGTCAATTGCCACTCCTCAACTTTTATTTTTTGTAAGAATACCTTTTCTTAGTCATTTCTAAAGTACCTACCTGAAAGTCAACCCAAAGGGAAGAAAATGAAATTATGAACTTTCACTCAATTTTCCACCAGTCATGAATAGAGATCTAATATTTTTCCCCACATTCCCTAAGTAGAAGACAAATTATTGGTAGTCTGTGTTTAATTCCTATGGATTAAAGCAAAATAATCTGTTATTAACAGGTTCTGTCATTGCTTTCTCAATAGGAATGTTGATGTATATTACCAAAATGAAAGGAAGTTATAGGCTGAAGCCTATATTATTCTGTTGAGGTTTCAGAACATTTAGCATTCTCCCCTTAGGCTGTTTTATCCTTCTCTAAAATAGTCATATTTTCTATGAGCCCACCTCTTCTGAGGTCCCATCCACAAGTTCTTGTGAAGAAGGATTTGATAAACTCATTCATACTTACAAATTATGAAGAAAGCAGCCTCACCTGTTACTTCTCCCTAAATGGCTGTATATCTATTACCTAAAGCTAGAAAAAGACTTTCAAATTGAAAAATTATAGTGTAGAGGATGAAGCTTTATTGATTTTTACAGCCAGGCAGGTTTCTACCAGAATATACAAACAGGACTTATTCTACCTAAAT